CTTTTCTAAGGAGTCTCCATACTGATTTCCATAATGGTTGCACCAGTCTACATTCCTACCAGCAGTGGAGAAGGGTTCCTTTTTCCCAACAGTAATTTTTTACTTAGCCTTTGTCATGGTAAGACATGAGCACAAGTTGTACAGGATTTCATTTGCTTAGCAGCTGTATGTTTTCAGTGTAACTAAGTTAAAATTGTAGCTTCTTCAATGGCTTTGCAATGATACAGACCAGAAATGGTTGGATTCTGACTAAGAAAACTAGAAAATAATTAGGTGTTCATAATTTTGTCGTAGTCATCACTCAGCAGTAAAAACTTCTTGAGCACTTATTCTGAGTTCTGCATTACATTAAGTTCTATGTAGATTCTAAAATATTAGAAAGATTTCTTCCCCTGAAGAGCTCATATATTCCAGGAATAAAAAGGGAATGAACAAACAGTAGGAGACTAAAATCATAGGATTCCAGCAATCTGTGCTGTGGGAACTGAGAGTAGGGGATCAGGAGAGAGTAGAACTAGAGAAGAGAGTAATTGGTAATAGAGTTGGACCAGGAATGCACGAAATGGATGTTTGCTGATGGTGAATGATACTGTAGAAACTTATGTGAACTTGGTAGTTTTGTGGGATTCAGAAGGAAAAAAAAATTGGGCCAAAGGAGAAGAGAGAATCATGTTGGGTAGCTTGACTCAGAAAGATACTGACTTTTTCCTGTAATCCTGTTTGCTTCAGTGGCTGAGACAGTAGGATTGCTAGTCTGAAGCCAGATTGGTCCACTAGCAAGACCTATCTCAAGATAAAAAGGACTGCTGTTGTAGAGCCATGGTAGAGTGTTTGCTAGCATAGTTGAGGCCTTGGGTTTGAGCCCTAGGATCACAAACTGAAAAAGGTAACACAATGTTACATGTGTTATTTGGTTAAAACATATATAAATATTACATTAAATAATGGCTTTTTGTTTCCTATGAAAAGACTTGAAGTTTGCTTTTGGAAGTAGATAGGAGAAGTGTTTTCTCTTGTGAGTCATTCTTGAGTTTTGAAGGATGGTTGTTGAAAATCTGACCAAAAGTTAGCATCAGATATGGTTGGGTGTGGCTCATGATATTTGGTAAACTGAGGTAGTGGGAGGTGTTTTTTAAAAGAAGTATTGAATCTAGGCCTATTGAGGGCTGGCCAAGTAGCTCAGTGGATTAAATGCCTGCAAGCAGGTGCAGGGGCCAGGGGTTCCATTCCCAGGCCTGCCGTGCCATCCCCGCTCTTGGGGTACGCTGAGATGGCATTCGAGAGTGGGCATGGTGGCATGTGCCTGTAAACCTAGCTCTTGGGAGGCTGTGAACAGGTGAATCACTACAAGTCCAGTCTAGTAGTGAGACCCTGAGCACTCTGTAGACTCTTCCCTAAAAAAATACAATAAATAAATAAATACAGACAGACATTGTGAATCTCGGCCTACTGGAGCTAGGTAGTACGTGCCGTAGTCCCAAAGGCTGTGGAGGCTGAGGTAGGGAACCACCTGAGCCCAGGAGTTCAAGGCTAGCCCAGGCAATGTAGGGAGACTGTAGGGTTTTGTTGTTGTTTTGGTACTGGGGATTGAACTCAGTGACAAGCTGTCATACTGACATGTCCCTAGCCCTTTTTATTTTGAGGCAGTGTTTCAAAAGTTGACCAGGGGGACTTGGGCTTGCAGTCCTTCTGCTTTAGCCTCCTAAGTGTGGGCCCTGTTTAAAAAAAACCAAAACACTCCAGCAGTATGGGGATGTAACTCACATACCATACACAGCATTTATTTAAAGTATACAATTTAGTGCATGTTAGTATATTCAGATTTATCACCAGAGTCCGTTTTAGAATTTATATCACTTCAAAAAGAAATGCTATGCCCTTTAGATCAGCAGTGGTGAAGGTTTTAGAAATGAGCGCCCAAAGCACAACTCAAAACCCGCATATTTATCACACAGTGCCAACATCGCAATTAAACCTGAAGCCTGAGGTGTTAGTTTAGGAGAGAATGTCAAAGGCATGAACGTCTTTTGTCTTCTAAGAGAAACAAACAGCGCATGTGCCGTAGGCTCCCCCCCGGCCGGTGGCTGAGGTTATCACTTCCTTAGCTACTTCTCCCTCCAGCCCTCAAGCAGCCACTAATCTTACAGTTTCTGTGGGGTTGTCTATCCTGGATTTATCATATATTTGAAATCAGACATTGTGTATGTTTGTGACTGATTTCTTTCACTACTGTAAGGTTTTCAAGGGTCCTTCATATTATAGCGTGTGTTCCTTTATGGTTCAGTAACATTCCACTGTATGGATAAATGCCTTATTTTATTTATCCAGTTAACAGTTTGTGAATATCTGGGTTCTTTCTCCTTTTTGGTTATTATGATTAAGTTGCTATAAATGTTTATATGCAGATCTTTGTGTAGACATGTTTTTGTTTCTCTCGGGAATAATTCTAGGCTGAGTCATATGGTAACTCCATGTTTAATCCAGACTTTTCCAGAGTGGGCACACCATTGCCTTGACATCATTTAAGAGTTCTTAGTCCTCTGCATCCTCAACAATGCTTTTTATCTGATTTTTGGGTTTTCATTATTGTCCTGGGTGTAAAGTTTCATCTTAATCATGTTTTTTATTTGCATTTCCCTACTGACTAATGTCAAAAATCCTTTTTTAAAAAAATTTTTATTT